AGAGAGAGAGAGAGAGAGAGAGAGCTGCAACATGCAGCATGTCAATGGCGGGGAGCACAAGGGCAGGCGCTGACCTCCAAAAAAAAAGTAGTAATTGTATTGGAATACAAGAGTTTTTTCTTTTCAAAATCCGAATAGAAAGGGTATTCAAATACGTGTACCATTTCTATTTGAGGTACTATTCGAGGTACTCTGCTATTCGAGAAAAGTGCACCCCCACCAGTGCGCCCTTCCCCCGCCCTCCCCCCCAAACCAAAAATGCCCCCAAACCAAAAACGCCCCTGAACGTTGAGTCCAACGTTGAAAGCTTCCAGGTGTCAACGTTGGAAATATAAAACGCACCCCTGACGGGTTGCCAACTCAGGGGTATAAAAAAAGGCAACCCTGACGGGCTGCGGGCAAAACGCTGCCGGACTCGGGAAACGGAAGAGGACCGCGGCCATCGACGATTTGAATATTCCAAGGTCATAACTCCGTTCGTACGGTCGATCGGGCGCGGGACTCTTGTCCGGGGGGTAGGCGTTGATAGGGATAGCAATCGGTGGTAGGTTGGCAGACCCTGTCCTGATGGATGCTGATATGAGAACGGTACGGTAGGCGGTACCGGAACCCGAAAGCTGGCAGTCAGCGGTTGCCTGATAGGAGCAGCTCTGCGGCTAAGCGTGGCCTCTTTTTGCACCCTCGATTGAGGAGCGGGGGTTGATCTTTGCCGGCCGCAATTTCGTTTCGGCGTGGACTCGACGACAAATCGACATCTGCCAGCTTGAGTCGAGAAGACTGAGAGACCGACAGCGGGCACCTACCTGCGTTGAGGGAGAGGCGGGCAGGTCGTCGTACAAACAGGGGAATTAAAAAAGGGGCGGCGACTGGAAATCCGGCCTATGTTTGGGCGTCGTCCCGTGCTACCAATAGTCGATTCCGAGAAGTGGACGTGGAGGGATTCCGTGAGACTAGTGCGTCGGGAGTTTAGTGCGCAGAAGTGAAAAATTCTTCCCGCACAGTTTGGAGCTTCGCGGCGGGGGGCTGCGCTAGCGCGAGTGGAGGTGGTCTCATCGGCAGAAAGAAGCGGAGCGGAGGAGCGAACCAGCCGAACAGAACACACCTCTACTGAGCAGATTGAAGCTGGACTTGTTGGTCGGTCATCGTCGACCTCGTCCTCTTGCTCTTTCTCTCTCTCTCTCTCTCTCTCTCTCTCTCTCTCTCTCTCTCTCTCTCTCTCTCTCTCTCTCTCCTCCCTGCTCCCGGCCGTTTTGCTCGTTCTCAGTTTTTGATCCTGTTTCTCTGAGGGGAAGGTGAGTTGATTGGGAGGAGGCAGGGGGAGCCGGCAATCGAGGGAGGAGGAGCGGAGCGTAGTGTTCCCAGGAGGGAGCCGTCTCTCTCGCTCTCCCTCCCTCCCTCACTGGACACTTGTGTCTCAGTCTGTCGGGATTTGAGCATTTGGCGATGGCGGAGCTCGATGATGCCGGGTTGCTGAACGGCGTTGTGGAAGTTGACGGCAACCAGAACCAGAACCAGGGTTCGACCCACGGCTGGCAACAAGTGACCAATGTGAAAAAGCGCAAGCTTCAGGAATCGCGCGACAGGAAAAAGGCCGCTGCAGCTGCGACTGCGAATGGCACCGCGGCAGCGTTGGCGCGCACAGCGCTGGGAAAGAGTTTGCCTGATCCGAGTCAGAAAGCTTTTGAAAAGCTGGATGCGCTCCCGGGAAGACCCCTTGCGCGGCCCAATGGTGTTGATTACGATACACTGTTGATCAGGTGTCTCAAATCCGACAGCGATGAAACGGATGATGAGACGCCGGCCGCTGGTCCGTCTTCTAATGGGCAAGATGGCGAGGCAGTCAAACCTGCTAAAGTGAAGAAGCCGAAAAAGCCTAAAGTGACCGTGGCGGACGCAGCGGCGGCAATAAATCCAGACGATCTCTCAGCGTTTCTGAACGAGGCCTCGGTAAACTGCTATACTCTCTCTCTTTTCTCTCTCCCACTCGTACCCACCCACATGGAAACACCTCTCTCCCACACATATCCTCACACATGGAAAGACGCCAACACGCTAAACACAGACACATTCACACACACTCGCGCACAGTCATGGCACAGAGTCTGGCACAGTGATGCTTTTTTTTTGGTGCAGTTGTGCATAACCGACACGGAAACACACACACACACACACACATTCACACTCTCGCGCACATCGCGCACAAACACACGCACACACTCTTTTTGTCTGTCTTTCTCTGTCTGGGTCTATCCCTGTTCCTCACCTGTTCATCTCTCCCTTTCTCTTTCACCTCCCGCCCTCGTTCTCACTCGGCCTTCTCTCCCTTGTCACGCATCGCGTGTGGGCTTAGGTTTCTGCTCATTTTCTAGTTGTTGTCCATGTTTTCATCTTTCCCCTTCGGCCATCTGCATCGTCACGTAGGCAGAAGCCGAACTACTTACTCAGGAGTCTATTTTTACTACTGTCCATGTTTGTCTAGAGTCCCCCCCCCCCTTCGCAATGCAAATCCTGGGTAGTCGGGGCATTTGCGGCCCGGGAGGAGGGTGGGCGAGGAAGGATCTAATTGCCTCGGGGCTATCACGTCTCCGTGTGCAACGAAGGCGACACCCAGTCAACTGCAATGTGAATGGGCGGCCTGCGAAGAGTGGTGGTGAGCTCAGGATTATTTCGTTTTTTTTTAAATTTTTATTCGCAGGATTATTTCCGGACACAAAACGAAGTTGCTAATCTGGAAAAGTGTGAGAGGGCGATGGCGATGGCGATGACGACGGAGGGCCATGGGAATGGAGCACAACGGCCTGTGGAGAGCGATGGCGACGAGGGGCGAGGACTTCGCATCTCGATCGCGATGGCGATTTGACAAACGGTGGACGGAAAACATGATCTCGAGACGTTGACTTCACAGGACACTGACGGAAGGGATGACGATGGGGAGATAGGGAAAATGAAGGTGATGAGGGATGGCGAATGATGGTGGGATAGGGAAAATGAGACGAGCATTGATTAAGATGACAAGTGATGGGACGAAGATGACAAGTGATGGGACGAAGATGACAAGTGATGGGACGAAGATGACAAGTGATGGGACGAAGATGACAAGGGATGGGACGAAGATGACAAGGGATGAAGGTGGCAAGGGATGAAGGTGGCAAGGGATGAAGGTGGCAAGGGATGAAGGTGGCAAGGGATGAAGGTGGCAAGGGATGACGATAGTTAGGATTAGGTTGGCAGTAACAATGAATGAGGGAGTGACGGTAGGACGTGGATGGTGGTTGATGTGTGGCCCCCAAGTAAAACTGGGTGGTCACGGTTTTGTCCGTGAACTCCATTTTTGTGCTCTGGTTGATTTTTGTGTGTTCGTGGGTTGGGAAGATAATGACTTGGGTAGTTAGGCAGGACGATCCTGCGTAACAGATATGGGTAGTCTCGTGTGGTGTTTCCACGTAATACCGAGGTGCGCCTGTCTCACGGTCCCTACGACAAGCATAGCGTGTTGCCATTTCTGCAGGCTTGCTTTTTTTATGGATGTCCTGCCTCTCGCTGCAAGGTGTTCTGTTGTTTGAGCGAGCGGCTGAAGATGTGTTTAGGCCACTCCTGCTCGTTTGCGTCATGATGGAGGGCCTAATTGGTCGGATGAGGGGTCCACACTTGCACTATTACAGTAATTATTAATTAGCCTGATGAAGGTTTCACGCTGACATATATATATATTTCAGGTTTGGTTTCCTCCTCCTTTTCTTTACCTCTTTGCCTTTTGGCTGCGTGCAAGTGGGTCCTTGTGACACACGGGGATGGGGGCAGCCAGCGCTCAACCTGTCATCCACGTGGCTGGCCTTGTACGTAAGAGGTTATGAACAGGTGGAGCTTTCCTTACCGCTTCCCCTTCCCCTTTTTTCCTTTTCCTTTTTTCTTTCCCCCTTTTTTTCGCTTCTGCGCTCTGATTCACAATGTGACAATATATATACTAATTGTAATGCCTGGTTGCGGGCTAGAACTTGACTGGTTGAGCGTGACTATTATTATCTTTTTAGTTCGTGACTATTATTATGTTTTTATCGAGTTTTTAGTTTGTTTAGGTTTGTCGGAAGGCTGGCGTGAGCAGTACAGTTCACTGGCCGGCGGAAATGTGCGCTGGCGCCGTTAGTTGAGGCCGTTGATGGTTGGATTGATTATCCGCGACAGTCTTCTCTCGAGCACAGCGCACCCTCATTTTGATTGTATCGGGCCGGAAACATGCCTTGTATAGATTCATTTTCATTGTGTGTTATGTTCGCGGGAAGACGGTAATAGAGTCACACTTGTCGCGGTGCTGTGCCTCCCTGCTTCGTCGTCTTAGTGGTTTTTTTGTTTTTTTGTTTTTCCCTTGTGATTCAAAGCTTTAACTACTACTTACACACTGGCAGACGCGGTTGGAATAGGTGTGAATGGAAGTGGTGGAAGTGACTAACTGAGAGCATACTCACGCAAGCACTTTCCTGGATGAACCTGACGGCGATTACGGCCCGTGTGGGACTGAGAGCATACTCAC